GTTGATCTTGAGGATGTGACTTATAAAATGACAAAAAAAGCCATTTGCGATGAATAAACCATACGTATTCTTAAATGTTGTTTGAAATTCATTGATGAAAATCGAGCTCTTAATTCATGAAAATAACATGATGAGAAGGATGAAAAGAAAGACCTTGAATTCTATAAAAAGGATTCAAATCGTACAAAACTAATGAAAGTAATGAAGAAATCTTAGTTTTCGAAAATAATCATCATAATGCAATGAAAATGATGTCAAAGTAAAGAATGAAATTTCCTACATGGAAATTCAAACAATAACCATTGAAATGAATTGTTTTTGATTTTTTTCTTTTTAGTCACTGAGTTACGGCTGTGAATGTGATGTAAATAGAATAAGTACATATTCATCGGCGACTGGCGATAAATTGATCGTCGATGAAAATGATTATATCATGAATGATCAATTATCTATTAATCATTATCATTGAGTGATAGTTCATGTTTTTCAAACATCCTATATAAGGAATGATTTTCTCGTACAAAATCATTCAATTCAATCGATTTATTGTATCAACAATAGATTGAATAAGTATTCTAATAAATTGTTTTTTTTTCAGGAGGTGCAAGATACAATTATGTACATAATTATGATATTTTTTATACATTTACATATTATATATAAATATTCCAATCTTAAATAGGGTATGTTGTTTCTTTTTTTTTCTCTTAAAAACAGGAATAATGAAAAGTATTGAGTATAGTTTTTTTTCGTATTGGGATAAAAAATTTATAAATAAGTTGAAAAGTTCTATTGGCCACTAGAACTTTTCAAGTTATTTTTTTCTTTTTTCTTTCATACTTATACTATTATGTAGAGATGGATAGGTACTATTTTATATCGCAGCCCGTCAGATGGCTTCGTAATCTGACCCAGGAAGATTTCTTGTGCCTATGTTGGCGAAAGCAGTGGAGTACTCGGGAAGGCCGGCTGTTCGTAGGTCTCTGTCGCCGTTTACGTACGTCACACCTATGATCATACCCTACCAGTCCGGCGTGGTCCGCTCTGCGTGTACCCATTGCGGGTTTACAAGGAGTCTTCCTGGTTGCGCGCGTACGCGAGAATCAATTGTAATGCAAATAAATTTATTCAGCAAATCGAAAAAAAAAACAAATTACATTTTCTTTCGAATTTTTTCAAATGTTTCTTTATATTCCAATATATGAGGATGATTTGAAGGTAATTTTTCTTGAGCAATTTCTACGGCTTGTTGAACATTTTTCATTGCCATATTATATTGTCGAGTAGATGAATATAATTTTGCCAAATTGTGATATACTACAGCTAAATCAGGATGATTTTTTGGTAGTTTCTTTTCACGTATTTCTAATCCTTTTTGATAATATGTCAATGCCGTTGTATAATCTTTCATTTGACGATATGTTTCACCTAAATTTATATATGTCGTTGCACATTCGAGAGGATTACATTGAACATTTTCTTGAATATTTAATGCTTTTCGATGAAATGAAATTGCCATCTCACAATCACCCACTAAACGATGAACATCACCAATATTACTATATGTAATAGCTAGATACGGATGATTTTCAGGTAAAGTTTTTCGACGTATTGAGAAACATTTTTCGAAATTCTCAAGTGCTTTTGAATAATCTTTCATACTGCGATAAACTCTTCCAAACCAGCCGTATGTTGAAGCAAAAGCTGGATTACCTTCTTCAAAAGCTTTTTGCTGAATTTGATAAGCATTTTTAAGGGCTTTAAGAGCTGTTGTATAATCACCCATTTTTTCGTAACATGCTGCAAAATTCAAGTGGCTAACAGCCAAATCAGGATGATTCGAAGGCAGAGCTTTTTCTCGTATTTCAAGTGATTTTTCGTAAAATTCAAGTGCTTTCGAGTAGTCACCCATGTTATTATACACTTGACCGATGTTGCTGTATGAAGTAGCCAAATCAGGATGATTCGAAGGCAGAGCTTTTTCGTAGATTTTATGTGATTTTTCGTAAAATTCAAGTGCTTTCGAGTAGTCACCCATATTGTTATACACTAGAGCAATATTATTGTACGTAGGAGCTAATGAAGGATCATCTTTCGGAAGAGTTTTCTGCTCGATTTTCAGAGATTGTTCGTAAAATGCAACTGCCTCTTCGTATTGTCCTTGGTCGTTTTTCACCCATCCAAGCTGATAATAAATATCTGCTCTATCACTATCATTCGATGCCTGTTCTAGTAGTGCCATATATAGTTCTTCGGCCTTGTCGAATTGACCTATTTGTAGTAACAATTTACCCATTCGACGCCATCCAGTGCCGCTGACCTCTTTTCGTATAAAGTCAGTTAATTCACGAAGTTGTCGATCATCATCTGACGTAAGTCTTAGATCCACGTGATAAAGTGCACGATTGTTGTCAAGTTTTCGCACTTCACCAATACGAAAGATGGTGTGCATGGTGAAGAGAATTTCCTCTTCTTCCTTATAATAGCTCACCTCTCGAATGGAGGCGAATGGAGTTGAAGATGCTGTAGGATCAATGGTTATTTGGAATAGAATTCCAACCATATCAGTCATTTTCAAGGCTTCTTTAGCGAAAACGAGGGAGACATCTGAATTTGTGCTGGTAGATAAAAAGTTGTTAAAAGAAATAAGCCCGCCTTTGTTTTCTGCGAGCTTTTCAAAGTCTACTTTCGATAGGCCTTGCCCTCGAAAGATTGTAAAAATCTTGTTATGGTATTGACTGACCTGATTTTTGTACAAGGTTTCGATTTGACGATGTACATCACACAGGAAAAAACCCATTCGGATCACAATGTCGCCATTGAGTGTTCTTAATGCTCCATTCAACATTTTGTAAGTAAAACATTGGCGTGTATACCACCAAATGGCATTGGATGCTTGATAAGTATGTTGAAATTCTTGGATAATTTTCATTTCATTCTTATTGCCTTGATATTGTTCTTGGCAGTACGTGACCAAATCTTGGACGGCTTGTTGTTCATGTTCAATTTCAAGGAGTATTTCCTTGAATATTTGTGAATACATAAAAGAAGGCTCTAGCTGATCTAGATTCTTGCTAGAACCTCCTGCATTCACACTAACAATGCTTACCGACATGTGATCTTGATTGCATTGTTTGATTGTTGTTGCCAATTTGTCACAAATATGTTTGATTGAGGTGTGAACACCTTTAATTTTCGGCCAATTTTGCGCCCATACTTGATGCCGTTGTTTATTGCCACAAAATATAAAAATGGCATTTAATTTTGCCATATCATGAATGTCCGGCACTAAATGTTGTCCAAGTGCACCTGAGGAGATAACAAATGAGATCTCCTCTTGATTTTCTGTGAGCTGTTGTATACATTGTTCAGCTGTCATACATGGCTTAACTTGATTGACGACAGCACGTAATTGTTCCATTGTATTTTGGCAATCTTGATTTGCCATGTCGATATTTTCATCGACCCAGATGACCAAATAATTTTCAGCCATACGATGCCTTTGATATTGAGTCAGTTTTGATGCCATTTTTGCTGCTTGATAAGTAATTTGTGTATTTTAAAGAATATATTGTTGTTTGAATAGTTATTACCTTTTCTATTTATTCATTCAATGTCTGCTCTTTTTTTTTTGTTGACACTCAAGGACGAACTCTATCTAGTTTCAATTGAATGAATGGTTGTCAAGAAGAAACGAAAGAGAAAAAACCCAACAACATCATTAATTGTATTGTTATTCTTTTCAACTTTCGTTTGCTTTACATCTACTTAAGCACTTGAGTCTTTTCTTTCATACTGGCAAGAACGAAAAAAAAACAACATAGACATTGTCAGTTCGATTTGTTTTATTATGGTTACAATGAATATTGTGATAATGTAAACAAAATAAGAAAAAAAAAAGGTTTTATTTTTATTGAAGCAACATCCAAGCAACGACTGTTTTTTACTTTGTGAAATATAGTACATATTATTAATAATTATCATTTTGCTTGATTTCACAACGACATGTATTATTCCTCATTGGTTACTAAAGTGATTACGAGTTCCTTAATACGAATTCGAAAATCATGTAACATTGAAGCACCGATTATCAACTCAAAAAAAAAATTGAATGAAGTATTTCAATAAGCATTCTTCCGGGTGTGAGGGTGGGTGTTGGTTAAGAGAAGAATCACACCCTCAACATCAACACTCATACCGACCCACACTAATTTGACATGTCCAAAGCTGATAAAATCCCTAAGACTATGTAGCCCACGAAAAGTTTTGTTTGACTTCATCAAAATAAAAAAAAAAACAAAATAAGTAGAAAGAAACGCGCACAGTTTCATACTTTATAATTCTCTATTCTATTGAAAACTAGATCTAAGGACATGGCAGATTTATGATTCTAATCCGATAGTGTTCTTTGCTACAGAAAGCCACACAAACTTTGATCGATAAGATAGCGTAATAATTTAAGAGTTGTCTAATTGCATCTATATTCATAAATTCCTTTTCACTTATTAAAATTATAAGTGAGAAAGAATTTATGGTTTATTTTTATATGCTGGTGCCATACGTGAATATAAAATTTACATTCGAACTCATATTAGACGGGAAACATCAAATTTGTCGA